CCCTCACGAGACACTGATTTTTTTTTTTTTTTTGAGTTGGAGTCTCTGTCGCCCAGGCTGGAGTGCAGTGGCAGCTCCCGGCCACCGCAGCCTCGACCTGCTGGGCTCCGGCGATCCTTCCGCCTCAGCCTTCCGAGTAGCCGGAACTACAGGCATGCACTACCACGCCCGGCTGATTTTTTGCTTTATTGTAGAGATCAGGTCTCACTGCCCAGGCGGGTCTCGAACCCGCGGGCTCAGGCAATCCACTCACCTCAGCCTCCCAAAGGCGCGGGATGACAGGCTGAGCCACCGAGCCCGGCTGAGACACTGATCTTGACCTGATCTTGGACTCCCCAGCCAGGACTGCGAGAAACAGGTTTCTGTGGTTTACACGCCACGCCACTGATGATACTTTGTTACAGCAGCCTAAATGGCAAGACAGGGCCCATATAAATATTAATTTAAAAAGTCAGCTTTTAAAAAGTCAGGAGGCCCTGTTGGAAAGGATAAATAAGGGGAAGACTGTCAGGTGTTTGAAGAGCTGGAGTCTGACTTCACTTCAGTGATGATTCGTTGCTATTTCATGGAATCTAAGCTTGGGTCTTCGCTCAGGAAGCTTGAATCCTCTCCAGTGCCCCATGGAGGCTTCTGCCTTTTTCCTCTGAGGCTGCCTGGGTGTAGCTGCTGTGAGGCCTGAAGTATCAGAAATGAGCACATAGCTGGTTGGCTTCGCACTGATTTCAAGAACACTTTGTCCAGTTGCCATTGTCTCCAGAGTCCATTCTCAGTACAAGTTTCAGCGCCATATCTGTCCTCTGTTCCTCAGGAGGCTCTTAGGGATGGAAACAGCCCATTTGGCAAGCAGGTAGCCGGCACCTCCTCTGGCTACGACCCCCCTTCAGGACACCTCATGGCAAATCCATGGCAGACAAAACACAGAGATCCTCTCGGGGTTTACATGTATATTAAACCCCACCTGTACTTCAGGGTTTGCTTTCCGAAAGCTTTCTTAAAAACTTTACCAAGTATTTTAAGCATCAAGATAATTTTCTTAATAACATCACTACCAAAAATCACACAGAAATTTTTAACTTTCCTTACTGTACAGCATTGAAAGTCATGCTTCCAGGCAGTGTCTGGAGGTGACTCTACAGATGAGTAACTGAGACAATGATAATATGTGAAAAGCATCAATCTAGAGCACTGCACTCAGCAGATACTCATGATTGTCCGTCTGTGTGAGTGCTCACAGGTAAACAATCTACCTGGAAGTCACCAAAAGCCAGAACCAGTCCAAATGTGTTACTCCCCTGGGCTGTTTGCTAGTCTCATGAACAGTTAAGGTAAGTGAAAGGCTACTTGGGTACAAAAGTTAAAAACAAAACCAAAAAAATTCTGACTGGGCATGCCTGTAATCCTGCTTTGAGAAGCAAAGGTTGGATTGCTTGAGGCCAGGAATTTGAGACTAGGCTGGGCAATAAAGTGAGTTCCCATCGCTACCAAAATAATAATAATAATAATAACAACAATAATAATAATAATAAAATCAATTCTATCTTGCCCAATGAGCAATAAGACTACAATTGGAAAACTTTTCTACAAGAAGTCTGCTTGCATTTTGAATTAATGAAGGCATTTAAGGTGCTGTAGTTAAAATACAATAAAGACATACATGCTATTTTTGGGGAAAAGGTTTTTTTCTAATAAACTTGCTTGAGAGATAAACTTGATCTTCCAAAAGATATTGGTGATTTTGAATCTCCATGGATTTATATAGCTCTGGTTCAAACTTGATCTAGGGCAGAATTCCCTAAGTTAAATGTACTGGAATTCTAATTTTCTGGTCTAGGAAGAATTTTTATGGAATAAAAGGGTTCTGTGTTCAAATCTTTGGGAGCCTCGCATTAACCATATTTTTAGCTTCTGTAAATTGATGTTTAGCATCTACAAAATGACCTCTACTTATCCCAAGTAAACCTTGACTCACCCCAAAGCATCCGGAGACTGAATTTCATGGGGTGCCCCTTTCAACATGGCTAACCTATCCCAAGTCTGTCTTGCCCACTCCTTCTTATGGGAACCACAGTAAAGGTTCCACTCTCCCTCTCTGCCTCATGACAGACTCTGCAGCTTCCCCTGGCTGGCCCTGTCTGGTGCTTAGTGTTCTCTCCAGAAAACTCTGGGTACAATAAAACTGTGAAGCTCTGCTTTTTCTCTTTGATTTGTGTCTGGCTTACTCCTCCCCTGAAGGAATATAGATAAACGAAATTATAGATTAGGAAACAATGCACATACTTCTTTATTGCAGTTATCAAATGTTAATATATACGTGTGCATTCTACATTTTCAGTGTCGAACTTTTGTGACTTTGGCATCTTTTTTCAAGCAGTATATTTGGTAGAACTAGCATTTCTGTGATCCTCTTCGAGAGGTGCTATTCTGAGGAGATACTGATTATCCACGTCGGAGACCTGGTGTGTCAGTAAGTATGGTCTGAAGGTAAAAATGCACTGGCATCATTGTGAAATGAAATCAAACATTTTAGTGCACGGAAAGCCCAAGTTCCATAGGAAAATTTGTGGCCTTTCCCATCACCAGAGACACTGAATGGTAATATCTAAAGGAACTTGCATCGTTTGTGCAGTCCATACATTTTAAAATCCGTATATTTTGTCTTTCTTCATCTTTAAATAAACCTTTTGCGCATAGACAAGTGCTTACAGATGTCGTCTCTTGCATAGTCATGAGGCACTTCAAACCCAACCTGTCTAGACTTCACTAGCCTTCTTATTTCCATTCTACTTTTGAAGTGGCATTTGCATGGCATTTCCATCTACCTGTTCACGCACAGCAGACACCCAGGACTCTAAGAATCTTCTCCTTTTCCCTTACCTACCACAGCCCACTAATCCCATCATTTTAGCGCACCTCATATCCCATCTGTCTTCTCATATCACATCTATCTCCTCTGTCTTCAGGACTGGCCTGAGACCAGGTCTTCACCATCTCATATCTCAGTCATTTTCAGGGTGTCTTAATCCTTCTTTCCCTAATCCTTCCCCCTCCCAGATCTCATCATCATACTGACACCAATGTACGTTGATTACATTATTCTCTTGTTGTAAATCACCTGCCAATCGAGTTGCTGTTGTATTATACGAACTTAAGTACAAACTCTCTAATCTTTCGGACACGTTTTTTTCCCACTCTCTCATTCATGCTTTTCACATTTCAAATTGCTTTTCAAATTTCCCCTAGTTAAGCGCAGGAAACAATTTGGTCACATCAATCTGGCGGTGATATGCTTCAGTACTTTTTTTCCTTTTGCCTGGGACCACCTCACTTTCACAGCAACTACCCAGTAAAGAGCTATTCATCCTTCAAGGCCGAGCTCAGGAGTGTCCTTCTCTAGAAAGCCTTTCCCAGACTCTTTCTTCTCTTCACCTCCTATATGGTCTACAGAGTTTTATTATACTTGTTTGTTCACATGTGTGTGTTTCCTTGCTGGTTGGCAAGTTTCTGGAGATAAAAGATTGCATATGACACATCTTAAAATTTCCAAAGCCTGACATAGCCCTTGATATTTTGAAGGGTGTTTTAGAAATGCTTCTTTAGGCCAGGTTCGGAGGCTCAGCCTGTGGGTTCGAGACCAGCCTGGGCAACTTGGCAAGACCTCGTCTCTACAATAAATCAAAAATTAGCTGGGTGTGGTAGCGTGCACCTGTAGTTCCAGCTCCTTGGAAGGCTGAGGTGGAAGGATCGCCAGAGCCCAGCAGGTCGACGCTGGGGTGGCTGTGAGCATGCCACTGCAATCCAGCCTGGGTGACGGAGTGAGACTCCAACTCAAAAAAAAAAAAAATCTTATTTAGTTAAAGGATCGAAATTATGATCCTTTAACTAAATAAGCATTTCTTTTACTATAAATTGTGTACTGCCTATTCCTGATTTTATATCATATAATTGAAAGTGTGATTGAAAAAGTGCCTCCTCTAAATTAATCACCTGATACTGCCTCTTGCTTTCTAGTATGATTGGAAAGCAAAGAAGAAACATACATAACTCTGAATTTTTTTCTCATATTATCAGTGTACTTTCACCTTTTTCTTTTCCCACTGCCTCAAAAACCCAATATTATAAATATTTTTGGAAACCAAGAAAGACAATTCCCAATTCTGATTTTTCCTCAGTTTAAGTCTAGCTGTATGGGCAATTATCCATGATGGCACCCACAGATATTTGAAGTGCTTTTTATTCAGTCCTTCTATATCCGATCCTTAAGAGGCAAGGAAAGAATGAAACCTTCCACCCTCCAAGTTTGGAAGCGATGAGGACAATGTGACCACTTGGAGGCTTGCAAGAGGAGAACACTAAACTCTGGATCAAGCAATAGGACTCAGTGGTGAGGCACTCACAGGGTTTTAGGCATTTGTTTCAAATAGTAGGAACAAAAAGAACACATGAACAGTTGATTTCCCACAGACAAATTCTCTTAATTAATCTAAAGTCTGTGTCTATGCTAATTTTAGGAACTGTTACAGATTGCTGATTTTGGGGATTTGTAGTCCTGTGTGAAATGGATTAATTATCAATACCTAATAAATGACTTATAAGAAGAAAAAGTCAAATAAACCACATTTTAATGACACTTCCATTTCCAATCTCCCCTCTCTATTCCCTACTAGAATTGTTATATGAGGAATAGATTTTTAAAAAGGCTTTTTAATGAAGAGAAAGAAGCATGTTTTCAAAATGGGTAATTTTCAAAATCAGCGCATATTTTCTGTGTTGATTGTATGGTGGTGAGGAGCATAGCCGCCTTCCAAAATGGGTGCTTCTCCATTTCTTCAATATGCTGGATACTGTTAGGAAAACACTTTTAGCCAGATGGGCACAGAAAGCTTATTCCCTATTCCAGTGCTGTGTTGTGGGATCTTGGCTGAGGAACAGGAAGGCTAGGTGGGAGGCAGTAAAGAAATGCTTTGAACTTGAAAGAAACAGAGTAGAGCTTTAATACTTACAGCTGTCCTCTTCTTCAGTTATACATTTCACAACATAACAGGCGTAGATGAACCCCGCCAGCTGAAACAAAACAGAGAGGCTTTAGACATCAGGCAAAGGCAACAAAACCGGACCTCGCTGGGGAATGACTTTTCGAAGTCTTGCAGTTTACAACCAGATTCAGGGCTCCAAACGGTTCAGCACACCGGATCTTGACTCCAGCATGGATTCCTGATTCAAGTGATATTGGCCTAGTCTTATGAATAAATGTATTGCTCTGTTTTTCTTTGACCTGCATTTATGTGTAAGGTTTGTTAATTGTCAGGCATTCTAAAACAAATTATTTTAGGTGCAGAACAAGAAAATAATTTGGGCCAGTTATTAACAGATTAACATTTGTGTTTGTGCCAATCAGCTTCTAGTTTACTTTTCATTAGCACAGAGCCTAAGATGCTAAAATTGGATTCCTATAGACCAGATGTTCCCCAACCCTTAGGAACCGGGCTACATAGCGGAAGGTGAGTGAGTGGTGGGTGAGTGAGCGAAGCCTCATCTATATTTACAGCTGCTCCCCATGGCTTGCGTTACTGCCTGAGCTCTACCGCCTGTCAGATCAGCATTATATTCTCATAGGAGTGTGAACCCTATGGTGAACTGTGTGTACGAGGGATCTAGGTTGTGTACTCCTTATAAAAATCGAATACGTGATGATCTGAGGGGATGAGGCTGCAAACACAGATTAGTAGTGAGGTTTGACTGGACAGAGACCATCATAAATCAATTGCTTGCAGACTCATATCAAAACCCTATGGTACAACTGCATCTGGCGGCAGGTTTTAAGTCACAATCCGACACTTATTTTAGTCTGCGTGTGGCCCGCCCATTATTTTATTTGCCATATCTGTCTGTACTTTTTAAAAATAGTGAGTTGTATAAATAAGAAATCAAGTGCATAATGAATGTTAGGTGCTTGAATCTCCTGAAACCATCCCTCCTCTCCATCCCTCGTCTATGGAAAAATTGTCTTCCATGAAACTGGTCCCTGATGCCATAAAGGTTGGGGACTGCTGCCATAGACTATCAGAAGAATGCTCTGGGCAATCCCTTTGGGTTCCTTCTTACTGTGGGAGCTTTTCTGTCCTCTCAATAAATTCTGCTTTCATATATATATTTACATATACATACACACACACACACACACATGCTCTGAGGAAAAAATAGGCAATTATGTGGTATATTGCATGGACTCTTTGTAAATAAGAAAAACTTACTTACAGTATAATATTTATCTAGACAAATTATGAGCACTACTTAAAGAAAAAATATAATTTCTTGATAAGTGGAAAACTTCTTTTTCAACAGTAATCTAGTTTGGGGAAATTCTTAAGCGTATGTCTTTAGAACAGTGATGAAAATTGTTCACAACGACATTGCAGACAGGCATTAATCTGGCTGAGTTCTGATCCCACACGGTAACATTTAGCGTGGGGAAGAAAATATGAGGGAAGGCTGCAGTTTTCAACCAGGAAGCTAAGGCACAGGAAGACCAGGGGCTGCTGTGATAATAAGCCTAAGGAAGTTGTTTTTCATTGGGTGACAGAGAGCAATCTTCTAGGATGTGAGTGGAACATTTTAAGTCAAAGAGTACACTAATAGGCATTTAATGAAGGCAGAACTATTAGGAGACAAAGAGGGGTCCGTGAAAAGGAACTTTAGCTAATTTGGATTGGAAAGAAAAATCATGTTCTAGCAGTTCCTAGCTATGTTCTAAAGAGAACTGGCGTGGGGTAAAATCGTGGTCATTCAGGAACAGAGGAAGCAGCAACAGAGACTGTGGTCGGCGAGGCACAGTTGGGGAAGACCTATGCACCATATTCTTCCAGGGCTTTTCTTTTGGGTTCTGGATGGGGACCCCTCTTACCCTCAGATGTAGCCTCTGAACCTGTACGCATCACAGAGAGCTAAATATGAATATGACTGAGGCTACATCAGCAAAATTAGTTTTCCTTTGAAGAAGATTTCAGAAAACTCATCAAATCAGCATGCTTCTTTATAAATTACCTGCTACCATTGGCAATAAAATCGTGATAGTAAGAAATACTTCCTTATATAATAGAATCATCGGAATCATTGTTTTTATGGGACTTATTTTTACAGTTGATGGTACTAGTTAAAAACCAGTGTCTCCCCTTAGACTTTTACAGAGTTTTATTTGACATTCATTGTGACTTGAGCATTTTCATGTATACTGGGAAGGTAGGGACTATACTGACATTTCTTTCTTTTTTTTTAAATAATTAATCAGTATTTTTTATTATGGTTTTGTGGGGTACAGTTAAGGGTTAGGTGTACAATTACGTTTCATTCAGACACCCTGTTGATAAGAGGTGTTTTCCCAGCCCCAGACAGATATG